TTATGGATGCCTATCAAAAGTAGTTTTGCATCTTCATACTGGAAAATGTTAGTTAATAAAATGTAAAAGTTAGGAAGTTTTGAAAATATTTGTCCTAAGAAAAGGAATACAACTTTGCTTAATTTGTATACGGAACTCATGCACGTGCATAATGCCTGTCTAGTAAATATTAGCATTTTAAACAACCCAAATGGTTGAATATTAGCATTATAATGTCGAGTTATTTACATTTCATACAAGTAGTTTCAGCTATGCAAATAAATATTTTATGTGATGATTTCGCATATAATTATATAAAAAAAGCAAGCAAGTGAATAATAAAAACCGACGATTATTGAGATAGTACGTATTGCTCGATTTCATCAAACAACTAAATATATAAAATAATAGATGAACAAAACTCTAAAAAAGGATCTTCGAAAAGAGATCATAAATATATATAGAAGTCTCTCTTCTCATTATATAAGAGTTTTGTTTAAAACTAGTAGATAGATCTTATATGCCGAAGGTAAAAAAAAATTGTTGCATTGAGAAATATTTAGATACCGGCAGGAAGAAATGCCTTATTAGTTATGGAACATTATTACATTATTATTAAAGTAATCTGAAAAACAAATAACTGTATTATAAGCTGGCTTCAATAATCAGCATTTGTCATGAATAACTGTGTACATCGTATAATAGCAACTATAAGCAATTCTCATTACTTTAAGACAAAATTGTAATTTTAGCACGCAACTATAAAATTAGTCTCTGTTAAGAATTTTTTTTTTCACGATAAATATTGATATAGGCATATAATAGGAATATGTTAAAAAAGACACAGTTTCTGTGGAAAAAAAATTATATTATATTTTTGACATTTTTGAGAAAAAACCAATATGGACTCAAAAAATATTTTTAGTTTTTTCCAATATCAACTTAATCAATCAACAAATAAAAAATATTTAGTTTTTCTAACCTTTTCTATCATCTGTCTTTCATATTACCACAAGGAGAGAAAAATTCCCCGCAAGCGATCTTGTCTACCGTCAATATAATTTTCATTAGAGAATGAAATAGTGAAAATCACCAAATTAATGGCAGAGTAGACCACTTCTGAAGAATTTCTGTAAAGGACCGATGTTTATAGGTCATGGTTAGTGAAATTCAAATTCGGAACATAGGATATTACCATAAGATCAGTTGAAAATAATATCGATAGTCTCCAGTATTACTTTGTTTATGCCCATGCTGTCATACTTTCAGGCAAATGATAGACATATTTAAAGAACATTTAATATCACGAAAAACTCCAAACTTGTACACCAGTGACAAATTTAATCCAAACTAAGTTTTTGACCATCAAAATCCCTAAATTGGTATACCTGTGACAAATTTACACTCCCGTTAGTTTTCGTTAAATTTTACAGTCAAATTGATGAGTTGAGTGACACGTGATAGTTAACGAGTGTACGAATTTAGGGTTTTACCCTCCAGTTTGTGGTTTTTCGTGGTATTAATCGAATGTAACGAAAACTAACATATAATAAATTTATCACAAATGTACTAGTTTAGGGTTTTTAGTAGTCAAAAAATTAGTTTGAGTTAAATTTGTCACAAATGTACCAATTTAGGATTTTTTATGGTCAAAAAATTAATTTGGAATAAATTTATCACATCTATATAAATTTAGGGTTTTTTGTGGTATTAACCTTGTATATAAATCTTACTAATCCTTTCTCACCAAAAGATGTTGCAATTTTTTATTAGTTGTTGAAAAAAGTTGTATTGAATGATCGGTAACCTATAAAAAATCGCCACATCACTTAATAATGGATTTCTTTTAAGATTTCTGGGTAGACATATATTTCTCTATTCATTTTCACCCTATTAAGGTCTCTCACCATTTTCAGCCAATTTATTTTTAATAAATCTTCTTGGTACACATAGTATTCTTATTTTAAGGACAAATGCTAGAATGTCACTCCAATTATATATTACCAATAAAGCAATTAACATTTTTATAAAGACAGATACGCATACATATCATGCATTAAATTATAGCACATCTTATTCGGAACGAAAATGTGAAAATGTTTTCATTAAAAACGTCATCTACAAAGCGCGAGGATCAACATTGTTATTAAACCAAAGCATAGGGGAGTACAATTACACATTACAAAAAGTACTCCGAAAAAGTACATAGACTAAAAACACAATTTTTATTCGGAGGTTTGTACATGCGTGACTTACAATGTCGCTAGCCGGTGCTGGCTCAGCAATTTCTGGCAATGTCTTTCGCCCATGAGTCGACCACGAGGACCGGATTTATAACTAAACAAAGTACAATGATCGATAGCGAAATTCGACGACAATTAGGGACCGAAAACGTAATTTCTCCCCCTCGTTTTTTTTTATTTTTTTGGTGGGTGTGTGTGGATGTTAAAGAAAGGTACGCAGGTTGCTGTTGTGTTTACCAGCATAAGGTTCATAGTGGCTTCTTTTCTCACCGGTGCTTCTCGTGGCCCATCATATTGGTACCTTCGCACAAGCAAATTGTATATTCATTTTTATCAAAGTTGGGAGGCAATGAGACACATCATTACTCGTACGGACCATTATGCTTGTTAATGCTCATTAAATTAATTTAATAGAATTTTACATCACTAAATGCCCATCAAATCCTTGCTTTTAGAGGGTGGGATTAAGATAAGCAAAAATAATAAAGAAGAAAAAAATTCAACTTTTTTTAAAAAGTCTATGATTGGTTTAAAGGGAGAATGACTTCCCAGCTCGACATTTGGTTGACGGGGATGATAATTTCCTTCTTCTTTTTTTTTTTCTTTTGGTCCATTAAGTAATTTTGGGAAATTTTGGTGCCCTAAGCTCCCCCCCTTCGCATTAACTTGGAACTTAATCCATCCTTTTGCTTGTTTTCACCAAATTGCCATGAGATGTAGCAAAGAGCGAGGTTCTGAATAAAGCCTGAGGACTTGCTTTTGTAGCAGAGAAAATGAGTGTGATTGACGTATTAATTGTGTTAATTGAGTTATGGAAATATTTTGAACACAACGAACCTTGTGTTTCAAATCATATCGTCTCCCGTTCATATGAATCTTAGTAGTCATGCCCGCCACCTTATGGTCCTTTACTCCACCCACGAGATCGATGGAGTGATCTCTATGCATTTTGAAAATTAGCCCGAGACAAAAGGTATGCATATATGTTGCACATGTAGTGCGACTTGCATATCTCTACTCATAATTACCATAAAAAGACAAAAAGACTAGGATTAAGTAAAAGGAACCGACAATATCTCGGGCCTTTTAGAGTAAGATTAGGTCGATCCCCTTCAGTATTAAGTGCAATCAATTCCATGTTTGGGTTATCTATATGAATTTCGGCTCGCATCTTACTTGATCTGGAGAGATTTGTAGGGTATTTCATAGCAATGATTTATTTATCTAAGAAAGTTTTTCTTTTCATAAAAGTCCATTGAGTGATCCTCCCCATAAAAAGTCAATAAAAAGAAAGAAATGCCTAGACTACAAAGTGATGGAGTACATGCTAGTGCAAATGTTATCATCAATCCACGTAGTGAACAGATACATGCTAGTTGGACATGAATTGGTATTTCGAGTGACTGGCCGCCGAGTGAGTGACGCGTAAGAACTTGTCCTTGGGACGGAAACTTAAGAGTCAAAAATGGTTTGCTAAAACCCTGTTGGCCAAGGAGCCGAAAAAAGAGGAATTCACCCAAGGAAGGGTTAGCGTTTGAATTGCTAGCTGGCTGAGGCAATAACTTAACCAAGGAAACATAATCGGTAATGGAGTTTCCAAGCATTCTTTTTATCATTTCATCCAAGAAGTGTTTTCAGTCAAGAAAAATGGGGGTTTGGATGGCTCCCCTAATCCGGCGATAGGGAGTGCTTCTCTTCAGGTTAGGGTTCCAAACCTACCTCGCTACCAGGTCTCTATTGACTGAGGAAATTGCCCAGCGCTAAAGCGCCATGCTGACGGATTTTGATTAATCTTGTCTTTGATAATAACTATATTTCCAAACAAGATGGGGAAAATGATAGCCCTAAACAAAGATGAAAAACTGAGAGTGCATTCGCTTTCGTATTAGATCAAAAACTGAGAGTTTTTCTAATTCTACGAATGTTTTGAGAATTTCTTTTATTAAATGCCAGCTGGAAAAAGTTTGGGATAAGTGTATTAGAAGTCCAAAAACTTATAATGATAGTGCAATTGAGTCCCAAAACTTGTCAAATTTGTGCAATCAAGTCCTAAAATTTATTGGTATTTTTTCGCTTGTCAAGTTGGATGGAGTTAATGAAAGTACTTGATTGCACCAACTTTACAAGTTTTATGACTTGATTGCTTTTTTTGAAAATTTAAGGACTCAATTGCACTTACGTATCAAGTTTTAGGACTTCCAGTACACTTATTCCAAAAAGTTTTGAATTGCCTAGTAATCCACCAATTAGTAATCCAAGATTCGAGAGAGCTATGAAATGGGGAGAGAGATATGGAAGAGGAGCATGCTTCGAACCATTCGACCGGCCGACCCCTTCACAGTACATCATTACGACCGGGGCCGGATGACACCGACCGGAAGTGGAAATCGCGCGGCAGAGGACTATAGTAGGGCCAGGGAAGCATTTATCGCGTGGCGAATTCACGCGGCGTGGCTTTCGCACGTGCGAATTCCGTCGACCCGGGACGCGCCCCGAGCTTCTCTACAGGGGATTAGATTTGGACACATATAAAGTTGAGAGGGGGATCAAAGGAGCAATCGAACATCACAAAGGCGTGCGGACGCTAAAGAGGGACGTGACTGAAAATGGCATTCACGACAAATAGGCAGAGGCGGAGGGGCGAATAAAAGATTGCATAGAGAGAGAGAGAGGGGGAGGAAAGCATGAGATAAGCCCGGTTGTAATATATTTTGCTGAAACGAACGTGGATCAGCGAATGAAAGTGAATCCTAACCCAACCCAAACTCGCTCACTGTCTCCTCAATCTCTCTCTCTCCTCAGTCCTCGTCAGTCCTCACTTCTTTAGGGCATTCTTGAGCTCATAACTCTCTCTCTCTCTCTGTCTCTCGCTCTCTCGCTGTGCAGATATTTTCTTCCTCCAGGACACTTTGGATTTTCCTTTCGGTCTCAGCCATCAAAGCCAATCCCATAGCCCCCCCACTTGAAAAGACAGAGACACCCGTCTTGTGCTGCCTCCTCCCTCTTCTTCTTCTTCTTCTTCTTCATCACCCGCCAAAGCTTTGAGCTCAAGAATTCTTGTTGTTGTTGTTGTTGGTGTTGATGGTGAGGATGATGGTGGTGCCCGTCTGAGCTCAGAGGTCCGGCCATGGCGGGTCATGGATAAGCAACGGAGTCCTCCTACGGTGTGCGTGAAACTTGAGAGCCGCAAACTCTGCTGGTTTTTTTCTTTTCTTTAATCTGCTGGAGGAGTAGTTTCCCCAAGAAGGTGTTCGCTTTGCTTTTCTCTAATTTCTCTAGCAACGCCATTGTCTCTTGATGCTAAGAGCTCGGTAATTGAAAGAAAATCATGGGTTTGTTTCGTTCTTTTGCTGAGACCTGAGATTGCTGCTGCTGCTTCTTCTTCTTCTTCTTCTTCTTCTTGGAATTTGGTTTCAAGATTTCGAGACCCTTCGAAGAGGGGCACACAGAGAAGCACAAATTAATGTTCGATTCGAGAGGGAATTCATTAACCTGAGGAAGTTTTTAGATTTGCACATATTAGAAGGCAGATCTGTGAAGTGTGAGCTTAGTTTGGTGTAATTTGGCTCCAATTCTTGCTTTCCTTCAACATTTTCTACCATAATAGCAAAAAGAGAAAGACGAAAAGAAAATAATTAGCGCCTTCTTTGCTTCGAGAGCTCAACACCTGTCAAAAATCCAGCCCCCAACAACAGCACACATTGTTTCCTTAGTATCAAGATTTCCTCCCTTTCTATTAATTTTATCCTTTTTGTTGGGTTTCTTTATTTTTTTTGTTCTGTGGGTAGTTTTGAAACAGTGCTCAAATTAATTTTAGTGCCTGTTATTGTTTTATTCACCTTCAGGGCTTCAACACCGTAACTAATCCGGCTGTTCTTGGTGTCTGCCATTTTTAGGGCCAGCCAGAGCTTCAACAAGAAAAGGGTCATCTACAAAAGCTCAGATCAACGGAGCCGTACAAGAATTGACTGGCGTTTCGGCTTGCCCATTGAGCTTTGAATCTGTAAAAAGAGAAAGAGGAAATTTTTGAAAGCTCCGGATCAAGGTTTGATATGTAGCCACCACACTAGCCATTACTCAGTAGCTCCCCTCGAGCTCTCTTTTTAATTTCAATCCACTTTTTTTTCTTTGTCTCTGGGGGTTCTTGGAAGCTTTTATCATCTTTGAAAAGCTGTGAGATAGGTCTTGAGCTGTTGCTAGAAGCTTTGTAGCCACAATAATGCTCGTAGGTATGGGTGGGTGTAGTATGTGAGTTTATCATAACTAAGTCAGATCTCTCTCTCTCTCTCTGTGGTCAGCTTGAATGAGTAAGGTGAGTCTGTGTGTATGTGTGGTTAAAGCAATGTGTACGTATCAAGCATCTGATGCTTGCTATTTTCATTTTGTATTCTCTTTCTTTGTGAATTATAATGATGACGATGAATGGTTAATTTTTTTTTTCATTGTGGCTCTTTTGGGCTTTCTGGTTTTTGCAGTGCTGAAGGCTGAGGCTCCCTTCTGAGACCATCTCAGGCTTTGCTTTTGAAAGAGGCGCACACTGCAAAAAAAACTGCAAAAACAGTGATAGAGAGAGAAGAGGAGAAGCTGCTCTATTGTTATTGACCTCTCTCTCTCTTCTCACACATTCACACAGACATCCCTGACTTGGACTTTGATACATCGAAGGCGTAAAACAGGCTCTTTTTATCACTACACAGCCAAAGTACTCTCTGTATTATCGTCATCAATGCGTAGGACATTGCAACCCCACCTGCACTCTCACCACCACCACCACCACCACACCCACCAAAATCCCTCCTTTTCACTTCCAAGTTCAACCCACCACTTCTCTCTCTGAGACCCACTTCCTCAAATTCAAACCCCTTCCTCCTCCTCTCTCTAGAACAAGCATAAATTCGACTAAGAAGCAAGAGGGTCTCATCAAGTTCTCAGTCTTGCTGTTTTAAGGCATGAAAGTGGCATGGAGGTGGAGAAGATCCATACACAAGCCTGTAAATTCCCAAGGGTAGGAAATGGAACCAGCAGGAACATCGATTCGGCCAAGATTGGGCCAAAAATCGGTGACCACCAGTATCCAGATGACGAGGAAGATGGGGGAAAGCACAAGCATGCCATGAGCATCGCCGCCGTCGCTGCGGGTATCGGGCCTGCCGGCAGCGGCACCAATAGGCTCCAGGGTTGGCCCAACTCCCGGATCATTAGGGTTTCACGGTCCTCCGGTGGAAAGGACCGGCACAGCAAGGTCCTGACCTCGAAGGGCCTCAGGGACCGGAGGGTCCGCCTGTCCGTGGCCACTGCCATCCAATTTTATGACATCCAGGACCGGTTGGGCTATGACCAGCCGAGCAAGGCGGTGGAGTGGCTTATCAAGGCCGCATCTGAGTCCATTGCGGAGCTTCCTTCGCTCAATGGCTCGTTCCCTGAAACGCCGCAGCAGTTCAGCGATGAGAAGAGGGCTAGTGATGGCGGCACGGAGCAGGAGCACGGGTTCAATTCAGCTGAGGTTGAGCTGGACGGTGACTCAAATTTCCAGCAACAGAACCAGAACCTCTCCTTGTCCAAATCCGCTTGTAGCAGCAACTCCGAGAACAGCAAGGGTTCGGGTCTCTCTCTGTCCCAGTCGGAGCTCCGGGTTAATCGCGTGCGGGCGCGTGAGAGAGCAAGGGAGAGGACTGCGAAGGAGAAGGAGACCAATAATCAAAACCTGAACCCAATTTCTCAAAACTCTTCCTTCACTGAGCTCCTCGCTGGGGCTATTAGCACTGGAAACAGCACCACCACCACCAACACCAATACCACCACCGTTGCCGCCACCACCACAAGTAGTCCTTCTGGCAGCGGTGAGGCCAATCTGTTCCACAAGGCGGCAGCGAGGCAGTGGAGCTCAATGACTATGGAGTACTTCACCAGTGGGCTATTAGGTGCACAATTCTCCAGGGGACATCCTCACCACACGTCTGGTGGATTTCCCGGGCAGATTCAAATGGGGAACAACACGAATTCGCTGCCGCAAGCGATGCAAGTTCCAGCCTTTACCATCTCCACTGAAAGTGGTGGCGGGGGCAGCCACCACCAGGAGCTCCCGCATTTCTCCTTCGTGCCTGACCACCTGATCCCGGTGGCGGCAGCTGCTGGCACGTCACAGCCGGAATACAATCTGAACTTCAGCATATCTTCAAACTCTTCTTCTTCTGGCCTTGGCGGCTTCAATAGGGGGACCCTTCAGTCCAATTCATCACCGTCTCTTTTGCCTCATCACCTCCAGAGGTTCACTTCTCCCATGGACGGTCCAAGCATGCCATTCCTGCTTGGCACGGCCATGCCCGTCGCTGTTGATACTAATCACCACCACCACAGTGCCCAGTTCCAATCTGGGATCGATGGCCGGTTGCAGCTCTGCTACAGCGACAGTACCCGACATGCCGCGGCCACTGCCGCCAGCCACCACAAGGGCAAAACAAAGAACGGATGAACTCCATAAAGATCCAGTCGTATGCAATCCATCTTCTTACGGGTAAGATTTCGACACTTCTTTTGTTTACTCTCGTGAGTCCTTGGTTGATGATGCCTATATTATAGGCTTTGCTTGCTCTAAATAAGTGGCTGCTGCTTGGGTCCTTTCCATGGCTCAGTTCTTGAATTGGGTTTTTGTGTTCTTTTTCTCTCTCTCTTAATTTTCTGTTTCCTTAGGTTTTAGCTTTTTGGATTGATGTGCTAGGGTATCGTCCCATGAATCTTTATGATTTTTTATTGCTACTTTTTTAAAAAAATTATTGGGAACCATAAAGAAGAATAATCTCATTGGGGTGGGGAGTATTTTCATGGTTCTTGTGGTATATCTACATTGTTTTTTTTCTCTCTCTCCTCAGTCTCGTTGCTGCATAGGTTGCCGTGAAATATTATAAGAGATCGGCTCGTTGTCTCCTCGTTTGTTTCTGAAATTTCTTTGGTTCCCTCTTCCTCTAGCAAAGCTCTCTGCAATTCTTGAGCCAGGTGTTGCCATTCCTCTGGTTCATTGAGCAAATGTAGGTCATCAGGCCATGACATATTATTCCACAAAAAAAAAACGGCTTTTTAAGGTTTTTGTTTGGGTTTGTGCTTGTGTTTTTGTGCCCCTCTCATGAATGTGGGCCTTTTAGCAGCTTTAAGAAAAATGTCTTGATTCTTTGTTTATTTATTTTCTCCTCTTTTTTGTCGTTGCTTTCTTTTTTTTTTTTGGGTTATAGTGCCTCTGGGCTTGCAACACATGGCTATGAATCGGCGCACTGTCGGGTGATGCGTGGGTTTTATTCTTTTTAGCTTACATGGATCCTACAAAATCACTTGCTGTATCATATGTTATGCAGTTTCGAACTCCATGCACGTAAGCATATGAACTTTATTGATATGAAACTTTTGGCGAAACTGTGGTGATGAGAATAATGTTGATTTCTGCTTTTAGACAGCATATCAAATTTTGGGTGGTGGACAAAGGGGATGATTGCAATAGGGTTCTCCAATAAAAAAAAATTGATTTCTTTATTTTGTTCCTGCCTTGTTCCTCTTTCTCCTTTCCTTCTCTCTGATTACAGAGGTGATTGATTGCTCTGAATAGTGATTGAAGCTTAAGTACATGATTATTGCATTTCAAATAGGGACCAGGAAAAATGTCTTAAGTTTCTCTGCTTGCTTGCTTGCTTTTGGGGGGAACTAATACCAAAAAGACTGACTAGCTAGTTCTCTTACTTTGGGGGGCAAAAGACTAATTAGTGGATTTGGAAACCTAGAGACTCTTCAGGCTTATTCTTTGATTAAGGAAGAAGTGAAAGCTCTTTCATGACTAGGCAAGACATAGCACAAGAGTCATGTGAACTTACATTGATGAAGAAGTTTAAATATGGTAAATATCTAACCATCTGGAAACATTCTTATCAGCAATTTATGAATGAGAAATTCATAAATTTGATAACATGACCACAGGTGTAACTGCATATCATTGTCTTTTCTTAGGTTTTTAAAAAGAACTGTGTATTCAGGAAAAGAGTCTAGAAAGCATTCTTTTCTCTTTATTTTCAGATTCTTAAGAAAACTGTTCATCCAAAAAAAGGGGTCTAAAGAAAAATTAGTCTTGAGAAGTCCTCTCAAAGTCTTCATACTCACTATTGTTAAAATGAATGGACTACTTTTCCCAGTCTCATATATCGTACATTAGTTCTAGCAGGAAAGAGTTTGGTTCAGCCATATTAACTATTAGGCCAACAGTTCGTATTCACGTGTTATATGTGCTTGGTATCAAAAAAACGGAAAACTTGGCCAACAAAAAATTTTCTTAATATGAATCTGTCGTGAAAACGGTCAGTGACCGTATCTTGTGACCAACGACTTGGTCACACGATATGATCCTAGTACAAATATAATAAGTCTGAAATGTCAGCTCTTTTTTTTTTTTTATGGCACCACGTGTCTCCTCGTTACGTGGTTTATCCATGTTAATTGCCTTATTTTATTTGAATATTATGCATTTCCCTATTTTTTTTCGAAAAAAAAAATTCGTATTTGGATAATACCCGGGGTTCAATTAATCAGTGTTTCATGATACATGGCTCCTGCAGCATCGAAGCATGTGTTGTCGTAAAACATGCTTATTGCAGACATATATTGGTTCCAATACCTTTATCACATGCTTAGAACATTTAAGAATAAACTAGACAAAGGACACCAGCATATGAAAAGGTCTTGCAGAGTGTCGTTACTTAACCAAGAAAATGAACTCAAGAGCAAGTCTCTTGTAGATCTTCTTGTTTTGTCATCAACTGATAAAGAACAACCTTTTTTAGAGTAACATCCTGAGATTTTTTCTACTAAAACTATTTGTGCAATGTTAACTTGGGTCTATTGGGAACTTGCCAATTGCTATGCTCGATACGGGTAGTTCTTTTTCTGGTCATCTAGCAGAATAATTTCGAAATTTGTGTGCATTATCTAACATGCTTGAGAAGGTGGTCTCTTCTTGACATTAGCGAGGACCTTGAGGACACTTGCTAACAGAAGACTTAACAATTTATATGATTCATACCATTGGGACTCCTGAATTCGAGGCGTTAATAGTTATGCTGCATGACTAATTATCATACTAAACATTTGAAACAAAGCCGGGACTTTACGAGGGATTAGAGGTTTGGATTAAGGAGTTAAGATAACACTGATCCATTGACATTAGTTGTTGTTTCAATGGGGGTCGAAGAAGAGAACCGCTGAGAAGAAGAAAGACAGAAAGCACATGCTTCTCTAATCAAAGCAACTCCTTTTGTCTTTGTAAGTTCTTAGTTGAAGAATGGAGAAAGATGTCTCTTCCATTGACTATATAGGACACATTTTTTTGTAAGGGAAAATGAGAGCGGAAAATATTCGATAAATAGATCGACTAAGATGCACTAGACAGGCGGAGATAATTTTTTTAAATCGAATTTAAATGGTTGAGAAATGAGACAGTAGATATGTACAGAAACATAGAATCTGGGAGAACTTAATAGTCGTACAAGTTGAGTTTTCTTGAAAATGGGATGAAGAAAGGTATAAAATTTCACGCATAAGGGGACATTTATTGAATAAATGGCGGAGATCTTTTCTTTTCTGATGAGTAAAAGCAGGAGCAGACAGTAGATACAGCTTAAAAAACATGATTATGGTTCATCTTAATAATGACTCGGGCTTTCATTAAATTTTGAAGTCCAATTTTGAGGTCCGGAACTGCCTCTAAGATTGCTTTATGTATAGCCGAGGCTCTTATTTTGATTTTTCATACTTTCACAAACTTTACAAAAAAAAAAAAGAGGTACTAGAAAATCCTTTTCTGGTCAAGGCCACAATAAATACTGCTATGAAAAATTGACTGTTCTTAAGCTGGTGATTCATGTAAGTAGTTTTTGTGACATATGCAAAGGAATAGAGATTTAAATTCTTTTCTTCCACATTTCTTCTAATTACTAATCGGAAATATGTAATTCACATAAGGGCCACTATGCAGGTTACATGTCCATCTTTAAGTAAACGCGTCACCCATCTAATGGTTGATTATCTAGAAAAATCTTTACACGACAACAGACATAATAATAATTCTTTAAGTTAGATCTTCATTCAAGATTGAAATCTAATAAAGCATACTTTCCCCTTCAAGTTGTTGCACAAACTCTTCTTGTTCATGCTTCATTTAAAAAAAAATCTCGTTTTGTTTTCTTATGTCAACAAAAAGGAGCTAATGTGGGTAATCATGGTGGATCAACCTCCTACTTCTATGTTCTTTTGGCTATCACAGAAGTCCCTTGCTCCTGAAACTGTGAGAAGACCCAAGTTATTTGTTGAATAGAGAGGATGAATTAAATTATATGCTAAAGAATTTACCAAAAATTGTTTTTGCCATTGCTTTCCTATGTTCGATTTTCTGTAATTCTTTAATGGAAAAGTGTCTTATGTTATCTAAGAGATTGATGTTTTATTAGAAGATTTAAATATTAAATCATGCCTCGATATATTAACTTAAGCTTTTAGATAGTTGTTGTCCCAAAAAATTTTACAGGCCATTTGAGGAAGAAGTTTCGAGTTCAAATCTTTCTAGATCCCTTATTGCTTCATCATATAGGTTTTTACACTTGAGTCGTAGGCCAAAGTTGCCTTCATAACTTTTAAGTTTTTAGAATAGTTGACAATGGTTTCACAAAATTTTACACGTTCCTTTCTGATGACAAAACTCTAAAAAGTAGTATACTTAAATGCTGGCTTCTCTCCCTCTCTCATACTTTGTCTAAGGGAAATTTTGGACATTAATTCCTTTGAATTTCCTCACTATACATAGTCAGAACCAAATCTGGCAAATGCAAACCTCATCTCATTTGTGTTTTCTTGTCATCTCATTTCATTCCATTGAAAGATTTCAAATGTAATTACTGCCATAAATTTTGTAAGATGTGGCTTACAGGCTGTTACTAAGAACATGGAATAGGGCTGTGAGTTGATACTTTAGGTCAAATTGGCGAAAAACTTCACATTCTTCCATCACAAGAAATCGTATATACCAAGCTGAATGGTGTCCTGCTGCTTTAAAAGATGAAAAAAAAAGTAGAGGTGAATGAATCATTCTATTGTTATCAATGGCTTCACTTTTTGGAGATGTAAGTCCTTTGTTTGGCATTTAAGGCAAGCAATGAAGCCACCTTTTCAATATTGCTCGATTCCATTTGTCAGGGTCAGTATTTCCTCATTGTTTCCATGAGAATTATTTCATCTCTACCATGATTGAGAAATTTGGTCTGCATTATGCTATTTATTAGGTGTTAGGCAGTTTTAAAGCGGGTTGGGGCAATGGAGAGGCAACCCAACCTGTTCCCATCTCAATTTGGAAACATGTTGCCCTCATTATGGTCCTAGTTTTGAAACATGTTGCCCTCATTTTGGTCCTAGTTTTGAAACATGTTATTGCTTTCAAGAACTGTGTCTTCTCAAATTACAATTCAGTTCTTCTGTAGATTATTCTTCTGACTTAAAGAGGCATTTCGTCTCAGATAATCTATCTTAGAAGAAATGAACAAAAACGTGTTGAGCGTCTCGAGTGCCTGGAAACCAATTTAAACGCTACGTCTGGGTGTTCCTAGGTCATATCGTCAGCCATAGGTTGGAACTTGTCCTGTAAATCTTACAGATGACTTAACACTTAAAAAACGTAACATTCCCCTTGGACCTGTCCATTCTTATGAACCTTATCGGTTCTAACAGGTTTTTTTTTACCTTCTATTTCCAGTCGGTGCAGCACATAATTGTCCTACTTCATCCATTATTACCGCACAGATAGACTTAGTTTCTCTTTCATGCTCACTTTCGTAGCTAAAGTTGGTCCCCATTGGTAGCTTACATTAGACTTAGACTCATCTGTGTTTGTGAACTAGAAATCCAACACAATGGGTTGAGAAGAATACCGATCATTTCTGGATTGGGCTCTTAGCTGCTACTAGTAGTAGCAGCTTTAGGTCCTTCAAACTAGCTTAGGGTGAATTTTCGTCACTCAACTCAGAAACCATCCGTCTTTACCTTAAAATAGAGAATATTTCCCATTAGGTTGCTTCTAGTGTCCAAGGACAAACCATGAAGGGATAATGAAATTTTGAAAGAGAAAGCACTAGAATTTTATTTCCCGTAAGTTGAACTTGGCTTAAACAGTACATGAGAGCGGCCAGCTAAATTCACACTCTTTTCCTATGTATCACATTAATGGTGATTGTTGATGTAATGGTTAGCAATTGATCTTCTTTATTTATTTTAATCGATGAGTAAAGATGTCTAATCTTTTATATACTCCAACCACACAGTTCTATGACAAAGATGTTGCTCAAAACCACATAATGCACCATATGGTCGTAGGTCCTTGTTGTAGCTTATCTCTGGGGATTTAAGTATTTCTAGCCAGCAAATTCTTTTTATCACCATTGAATTTTGGGCAGCAGCAAATCTTAGTCCTGAAATCTTACCATTATCCTACGCTGGCACGTCACCTAAGTCTTCTGCTTTATGTGAGCTTGTGTTGTTGCTTTACCTTTGTAATAAGAACCTTTGTTTCCAGGAGAATATGTACCTGTCTATTTTAGACGACGAACTACTATAAATTCTAATTTATGGGAATACGATCTTGCCCATTATATTCAGATATTCACTCAGAACATCCACGAGGTAGATTGTTTTACTGTCCGTTAAAGCATAGTAATTAACACAAGCAGCAGACTGCAAATGTCTCTGGTAATTCTTTGCAGATCAGTTGGCATTTGCTAGAAACTCCTGTTAAGTCACCAGTTGGAATTACTGGTGCACTTTCTGATGGTGCACCAACTTCCAATGACATCAAACATAGTGCTAATGGAGTTTCCATATATCCCTCATCTTTTATACCCGGCTAGCATTTTTGGTTCATGCATCTTCACTACCACTGGTCATTTATGAATAGGGTAGTTCTTTTGGACTAGCACTTGTTTAGCCACTCCCATTTGCTTCAATGAAGGCTATTTATCATTTCTCACATGCTAGTTATCAAAATTTGGTTTAACTTCTTCCTAGTTTGCGGCTGTGGATGTTTGCCAATTCACGAGTGTTTCGGGTTTGTGGAAATAAAAGAAGATTGGTGGGTGGTATGTGCTTTTGTATATGGTCCTTGCTTACTGTCCAAATATATGAGAGTCAAAATAATTCTTGCTGAAAATATCACAACTAAACAAAAGAAAGTGACAACAAGCACATATTCTTAAGCGAAGATTCCAAGCAAGGACATGAAGTCTCGCAGTCGCATCTCTTTTTTTTTTTGGGTCGAACAGTTGCATCTCTCTTTGTTCCTAAATAATCCAATTCTTGCTTTGGGGAACAAAAGTCTCTATGTTGTTGAGTGATGCCCTTAACATGAGAGACATGTTCTATCACGTTGTTCTAACCATTTGCAGTCTGCAGTCATTCATCATACAGATTGCTTTTGCTTATGTGTTTCTGGAAAATGTACACATTACATTCATGTACTTGTTTGCTTGTTTCTGCTATTGCTTATTTCACGATGTATCGAAGTGTTTATTAGCGAAAGGTATTGGTAGGAAGATTTTGGGATGTTGCTCAGTTGTACTTATAATTCTTTCTGGAGTTTCATTGAAATAAAACTACAGTCATGACCTTATTGTTTTCATAATCTTATCTTTTCAGTTAATGCAGTTGGATGCAATGGTAAAGAGAGTGAAGATGTAGATATGGCGGCTACAAGCCACGAGCGGATCGGAATGCGACTTATGTATCTTGCATCATCTATGAATTTCTTGTTCGAGTAATTTATGTTTAGTTGCTTATATGTCAATTTGGAAGTAATTTCGGCTCGAGTCCGAGCATTCGATTTGTATTATCCCCACGTGCCATTGTGTGCTTTCCTGGTTTTTCCCAGAGCGTGAATTAAGAATTTGATTGTTGCTGTTCTTCATTGTTCTTGAAACTGTTTTATACAGTAAGATCAACCGCAGCATGAATCGTGCAGATTGAGCATTTGCCACAAGCCAAAATCACATGCCTTGGCTGATGACCCGTGTGCTTTTATTTTTAGGGAAAAAGCTATAAAAAATCTCAAACTATACCCATTATAATATATACATACTCTAGACTTTTTTGGGTAACAAAAAATCCCGAACTATGCGTTCTTATATACATTTACAACTTTTTCTTGGGACATAAATTTCAAAATTTGTACTTATGTGACATCTATTTTCTGTTAATGTTCTATTAGATGATTTTTAACCAAAATTACATTAGGGGTGAGCAAAAGGATTCGTTCGGACCGGTTTGAACTGGTCGATTCTGGGCGGTTTTCTTAGGGCACCGGTCTGATTCCCGATTTCATGCAATTGGAAACGATGAATTTCAGTCTGGTTCTTGGCTTCAGGTTTGGAACCGTCTATCCAAATCACCTGCACTAGATTGATTTTTTTATTATTTTCAATTTATATTTTTTATATCAAACAAATGTGAAAAATTATTAATATCTTCACAGATCTTTCACGCCTCTTAGTCTCTCTCATATCTGAAACAAAACTCTAATCGCTCTCACTCACGCCTCCTCCTCCGTTGATCTTCTTGCCCTCGCTTGACAAATTTGTCACGTTGACGAGGAGTCATTTGCTTCCATCGCTAAATCAATAGAATTATCAAAATATCTCTAACAATGAAAATTTTCCTAGAGAAATCCCTAATTATCTCTAACATTGAGAATACAATTCCTATTGCCATCGAATTTTCCTTCATGGTAATTGCCACAACCATTAATCAATTAATGTTAGTTGATTGAGTGGTTAGGTGATCGAAATGCATAAAAGACAAATGTTGATCCCGATGCCATTCCTTTGATTGATTTCAATGAACTTTGTTGCTTGGTTGTTTGAGTGATTGCACTTGATTGCATGAATGAATGAAAACTGACACCATGAATGTTGGCCAAGCAAGTTGATTCGCATTTTTTTAGAAAAATCAGCTAACACATACCGTCAGTTGTGCATCAGCCAATGGCCGGCTACCACAAATCATGTCAATACTATTTGCCTTCCGACGTCCATGTAGAAATTTTTTAAAGGTTCTTATTAAGAGAACTTTGACGGAAAGTAAATGTGTCACACAAGCATAAATTTAAGAATTTTTGTGTCACAAAAAGAAGTATTTAATAAATATGTCACAGTATGCATAATTTACGACTTTTAATAGCTTTTGCCCTCGTTTTTATTTACAAAAATAAAGTCCCTTAGTTGTTTACCCTTTCATTCTCCCTGCCAAAACTTCATATCTTTGCTTTGAAGGAAGTTCTTTATCTACATATAAAGCCATATAGATATGCAGTGGAGGATGCTTCTGCTGTCATACAATTAATGTTTGTGTATATATATGCATGTATAGCAATTATGAAGGGATCTTGCGGGCGCAGTTGAGATAATTTTATCAACAGGGGATCTTGCAGGCGCAGTTGAGATAATTTTATTGACAATTGCGTATCACGTGACTTGATGATATTGATGCGCGATGATCGCGAAATTGATTTCCATGATAAAGACTTGATACGAAATGCCATGACAAAAAAATCTACGTGGAGGATAAGGATCTACGATTAACACACGAGTCCTAGAGAAGTAAACAACCGATGTCGCATCAACGTCATTCTGAAATCGATATGCACGAAACGTTGACAGAGATTTGATCGATTTAGATATGTTGACACAAAATGATAATGCATTCAATAATCACTATCTTATCGTGCGATTATAAAAGCATTTGGGTTAGCTGTACTTGAATGCCAGAATCGAACAAGCACATGAGTAATGTTCCAGCTCAATTGTGCAGTCCTTGTTCAGCACGAAAGACCAATAAAGTACGATTCGTGCATTTATTTTGGTGAGTTGTTCGATTATTTCCATTGGCTGACTTAAACTAAATTTGAAAGTCAAAAAATATTTGTAATTGTCGCTTTCCCCAGAGATTAAAGAAAGAATGGCGACATCATCAATAATTCAGGGGGTTGCCGATGGATCCATCATGCCGGATGAAATAATGAAACAAGATGCAGATTGCGATAATGAAACAAGATGCAGATTCGCAATACAGAGTGACATTATAAAAATGACAACAGGGTCTAGAACCAGACGCATACGAAGAAGTCCATACTTGGTTCACATGGATTTGGATATTAACAAAAGAAGATGCACGAACAGCTCAGAGATCGACATCAGACCAATAATTGAGGGGTTACAGTCATATCTCTCTCTCTCTCTCTCTCTCTCTCTCTCTCTCTCTCTCATCTTCTACTCAGACTTCTATTCAAGTGAGGATGGCCAAGGTCTGCTCTGAAAATGGTTCGAGAAGTGACCCAAAAGTGGCAAGTGCATTGGGGGACTTTCTCAAGACAGCATCATTTTCTCAACCTCAAGACAGTGAGCCTTCAGCCACTTTCTAGGCATTTTCCACTGCCCATATTACAGCAAAAATGCTTGCTAGTGACAAGGGAACCATTTTCAAACAATGCCTGGATAATCAGATTGTGGTCTAGCAGCGTGCTTTGGCATGAGCATTTTACAACAGTATGGGTAAAGGAAAACAATAAAAATCGACACTCCCTGCAAACCATCTGAAACTGCACCCGTCTCCTTAGAATATGTGAAAGGAAGCAACAACTTTATTACATGTGTACAAGACAGGGTATCGACGAGTTGTATATGAAACAGCATTGCAAGAGAAGCAACAGAAAGGGGGGCCGAGAAAAGCCGATATAAGCATACATATATATATCACAAGGTCTGATTGGTCCTTTAAACTATCACAGCTTTTCTACAACAAGCTTTGAAAGAAGAATGAAGTTACTACGTGACGACGCACACCCTGTCCCATGGAACTGGGCCCTAAACTCCCATATCCCATGCTACATCACCCTCGCAATCAAGAACTTGTCATTTTTATCATAACTCATCAAAAGCTCGGAATTCCACCTTCAAATCCTTTATATTTCGCCCCGATGGACTGCGCTGGCATGAGCATCAGTAGTTCAAAGGGCCACGGAGAGTGCACTTGTCAGTGAACTTCTAGAGTATATGTTCTTCACTACAATATTCACATGGTGTGAGATGATAAGTTCAAAAGACTACAAACTCAGGAATAGAACATCATTTTCTATAACTGATGTAGTCATTGCAAGCATATTCCTGAGAAAATTAACGAGCAGATGCATCTCGTTATCAAAGCCTAGAACAGAAGTAAGAGACTTGCCGTACAGGGCCACCCAAAAAGTATATTGCATACACAGCACATTTTGGCTCAGTAGAAGCTGCATTGGCTGCTGCTAGCACAGACAAAATTGTGGTTTGATCCTTGACCTACCAGAAGGGTACAACTTGTTTCCCTTTACGCAATCAGCTTACCCTGAAAATACAAAAGGTTCACCTATAGGTGAGACGGCAAAAATATTCATCTGTAAGATAGTAATAGTATTATTACGGGTGCTCAAACCCAAAAGATTGGTTAACTACAATCAAAGATGGATATCAGGTTGCACATCATCTTGCACAGTGCACAGCCTAAATATCTCCGATTCAAAGACAAATAAACATACTCTACCAAGTTGAGAGAATATTCCAGTCTTAAAGACAACTAAGCAGGAGTTTGGAAGAGCTTCCTGGGCAGCAGCTTCTTCCAACAAGGTGCAGCAACTCCGTGAAAGTATTTAGCAAGTAAGTAGAAGCTAAAACACCCTTACCAAAACAAAAGAAGAGAATGATAAACCTAGGCAGACCATCGAGAATTGGCATGCAAATTTTATTGCCGTTTTCACTACCCCAACTCTCATATTTTAAAACTTTTCTTCAAACTAATATCTGAATAAAAATGTCATCACAGGAATTTCATATTCACTCACGAAGAGATTGACAAATCCTCTGACCACATAAGGGACTGCTATATTCGCTTTATAAACCACCAGTCCCTAAATTGGCAGTTGACAGTGCTTCTTTTAAGTTCATTTCCGAAAAGCTGTACCAACTCTACTTAGAAATCATGCACAATTGACGATCTGAAAACATCGAAATCTACAAGAGGGCTACTGAATATTCACTTGAGCCGAATGGCCACATCAAAAATCCAATAATTGAAAGAGCCATCAAAGAAAGTAATTAGAGATGTGTTATCCAATCTTAAATCTAGACATAGGGAGGAACCAGTCTGCTAGTAAGGGTGCATTCAGGAGGAGATGATGGTCAACCCACATCCCAAAGAACGCCAAACACAACAATTTATCTAGCAATTACTTCATAAATTAATATTCCAAACCAGTCAGGCAGCGAACTGACTACACCAATACAGAAACAATATGCAAAGCAATAATACATCCATGGTGCAAACTAGGAAACATGAAGAAAACAGACCATCAGGGACGTACCTGAAATTCCCTGGGACTATCAGAATGAGTTCATCTCCAGGCAGTATGTCCTCCTTTTCACTAACATTCTAGCCGCAGTTCCATAAGGCTCCTCAAATGCAGTCGAAATCCAGGACCCATCGGCCATGTCCATCTTCGACCCAGACTGCTCACTAGGTCTTATGGCAACCAAAGTTGCCCCTTTCAGCACAACCCCGTCAGGCAATTCCAAGTGCGGCGCATACCAGAGCCTCATATTGAGCGCAGGCACCAATGTCCTCTTCGAAGATAAAGAAGCTGATAATGGTTTCACCCTCAGCTCCTCGAGCTGCTCTCTGTTCATGCACAGCACTCCTTGCCCATCAGCATCCGTCAGAACCAAGCTATCGAGAGTCTTATGCTCCGCAATTATGGGCTGCAATAAGTAGTGCCTTGCAGATGCGGCAATCAAAGAGCTTATAGTCCAAACAACCCTCAATTTGAGGCCTCCATTTGTGTAGAAGGACTCGGGAATACTTCCGTTATCGTCGCTGGCGCA